ATTGAGGTATTAACACGCACGCTATAGGGATTCAGCTATCGCACAATATCGCATTTGTTATTATTTCAGTTGTTAATGATAAATAAAAGTAGCAATAAATTATTATTTAATAATTATTCGATGTAAAATAATATGAAACGAATGGCTATATGTCGTATGGATGGGCCTAGCCACAGCCATTATAGAGTTCCAGGCTTCCGGGAAAGCATAGGGAGAGGCAAGCTCCCTTTTCCACTTGAGTGAGTAAAACTGTGTGCAGCCGGAGTGTTTGGAGGGTCGCGCACTCGAGCAGTTAGCGAGTGCCTGACTTTGTATATGATCTTTTAACAAACATTATGCACTTACTACAACGTGCATTCATCGCTTGTATTTCCTATGGCATTAACTACTGAAACTGTTTACTTTGCTTTGGTTAGGATAATTATTGTGAAAGCGACGAGCTAAGGCAGAGCGCGAATCGTCGATATCGGCTGCTGCCATGCTTATACCTTTGGTGGCTGCCGACTCTTCGCAGAACAACGACGATGAGGCCACAGGGTGGTCTTAAATGACAGAGAGGGGCAACAAAGGCAACAACGAGGTCCCGGCCATCGCCGGACAAGGAGAGCAGTTCCGTCGGTTCGCTCGTCCAGTCAAGTCGCTCTCATTAACATTCTACGGTACACGCAGACTTTCATTCTCTCAAACCATTGTTAATTTTATTTCACTTGACAAAAATCGAATTTTATGCAATATACAGTATGAATATATAGAAAGGCTTCGTTTTTTCAATCTTCAAATTTAGAATAGCAAGTAAAAACCTTTTATAAATGTTTTGTAAACTGCACGCTAGAGTGCATTGAAACCTGCGATGTGTCTAGTATGTCTAGTTCATCTCATACAAATTGTATTTTGAAATATTACGAAAAATTTCTTGTAGTTTATTATATTTGGCACTGCTAGACGTCTAATACGTAAACATATTCAAACGCTCGATCTATGGGTTATTTAGTAAATTAATTTAAAAATCAAATCGTACAAATCCACAGTGATTCGTAGACTCTACGAAAGTCTCGCTTTAACTCTCAAACTTGAATTCTACTTTTTGAGCAATGATAACAAAACATGTCTCACATGAAAATAACGCAGGATCATTGCATAACCGACAGTGCAATTGGCTTTTTATTAAAAATAGTAATTGGATGTTGAAAGTTCGAGACTCGCTTAAAGCCTATGTCTAGACATGGCACAGCGTTTGATTATTAATTGACAACTAATCATAGAATCATTTCGAGTGAGAAGCAAGTTTTCGTTAAATTACTTATATACCTTCGCTTATTTTATATTAAATCTCGCAAGTCCAATCTTGGCAAGCCATCTCTGCCACACACCACTCAATCTCCTTGTTATTCAATGTATAGAAGATCTTTCTACGAGAAAATAGATTTACCATGAAAACACGCCGCGCACACGCACACATCCTGTGGCGAAAGGAAAAAAAATGCTGGAGCATGCGTAGACGCGCGAGTCTCACGCACATGCAGAAGTTAGCACGTGCGTGCGGCGCAACAGGAGAGAGAGAGAGAGAGAGAGAGAGAGAGAGAAACAAGAACCCAGAAAAAGGATGAAAACGAAGCTTAATAACCCCATAAAAGCCGATGCTCAAGCTTCACCATTTAAAAAACTAATTAAACTTTTTGGCGATCCGACACGCTTTGAAATGTTCGTTACGCGTACGCGCGCTTGGGAATTACGAGCGACGTTGGAGAGCAACTGTACCGGGAATATAATGGTCAAGGTCATTTTTCTGTTAATGTGATTTCACCGCGTGTTTTGCATCGCTCGCTGCCCCCGTTCTTTTCTAATGGAGCTTCTCTTCGCTTCTGTTGTTCGCCATCGCGCCGTCTGTGCATTCTGTTATGAGGATTTTCAACTTTTGCGATTATTTGCCGGACGAACGTCGCGGTTTGGAAAAACACCAGTAGGGCAAAAGTTTTTTCAATGAGAGCTTTTGTAAAGTGCCTGAACGCAGTACTTTGACCGTGGCTATTAAACGAACGCTCATTTCCGACGATCGACTCTGGTATAAAAACCAGCATCACTGTTGGAATTACCGAGTTCCATGACAACTGGCAGACAAGTATACAGAAGTGCACTCGAGGTTTAAAGCATCTCTCTCTCTCTCTCTCTCTCTCTCTCTCTCTCTCTCTCTCTCTGTCTCCCCCTCCCCGGCGACATCCGCGTGTGCAGCAAAACACCAAGCTGGAGAGCAGCAACAGCAGCAGCATCCCTTTCACTGCGGGGCCACCATAAATTAGACGGAGAAATTAAGCGTCGTCATGACGACCACCGCCTCTCTCTCTCTCTCGTCCGCGTATTTTATTTCCTTTAACGCTCGGCTGCGCGCCATCCACTTGCTGTTGCCGCTGATGGCTTCATTTTGCGCGCATCGACGATTTTTAATTATTCGAATTTTTGCGGACTTATCTGCAAGACCTCATTATTATTATTGCTACGTATGCGCATCTTTTTTACTCTCGGGCTCCCGCGAAATTTCTTGGTTATTTTTTTTTTCTCGGGCTTGGTTTCACGGCGCCGCGATTTTATTGGCGAATAACTTTTCAGTCACGTCGGGGCGCTACACACAAGGCTTAATGGTTTTGGAGAAAAAAGCATAAAATATATCGATGCTTAATGCACTGTAAATTTTCGCACATGTTGATGTGGCATTTTTAAAGAGGGAGGGGAGGGTTTAGTGAATGAACTGCAGTGACTGCTTTGACGTGTATATTTAGAACTGATGTTGTCGGCTAGTCCGCGGTGAATTGTATTTTATTGTTTCCACTAACATTCGAATATACTAAACGTCAAAAAAACAAATAGATGTGTCCGAAGGTGTATGTGTATATTTCAGACTGGAGACTAAATCACGGGGCGACAGTGAGAGCGGATCGTAGAATCATTGGCTCGAGACATTCTCGAAAAGGCAAAGTTTGGTTGTAATGAGGCTGCAGGCGCGAGCGCAATTATTGGCTTATAAAATCATCGATCGAAACTGATAAGCGCGGCAATAAATAACGCTATCGCTCCGAGCCGCCAGGCCGCCTTTGTCTACGGAATGTCGTCAGGCGCGAGGGGGCATCGACGCGTGTTTATGAAGTGGATGCAGGGGAGCCGGCGACGAGGGCGCAGAAAATACCTGAAAAATCGGGCGAGAGGCTCCTCGTTATTCACGGATTGTCTTCGGCAGCGTATAAATCGCGCGGCGCCATTGCCGGGCGCGACGAAGGGAAACAAAATTAAAATCGAACGCGGACGTTAATGCCATTCGGATTCCTGCGCCGATCCCCCGCTCACGGGCGCACGCGCGAGCCGCGTGCGCATCCGCTTGATTTATCGCGAGCGCGCGGCGGGGGAACGTAACGACGGGCCGGCCACGGACGAGCAGCGGAAAAATAGAATGCGCGCGCGCCACCGCCGCGAACGGCCGCGAATTTCCCTTCGCCGCTGGCCCTCGGCGACGCCGCCATGCGTTCCCGACGCGCCTCCGATTACTCCCCCCCCCCCCCCCCGCACGAGAGCGGCAAGACGCGCGCGGGCTTCCAAGTCAAAAATCGCCGGATTTACAAGGCTTCGTATTCCCCGCGTTGCTTGTTATTTTCGAACGGACCGCGTGCGTTATTATACACGCACGCGTCGTGCCGAGTGGCTCGGCCATTTTAATGGGGCTTTAACGTCAGATATCATATACCGTAATGAATTCATTTGCATTAATCGACTACACGGCTATGCGCGCGTCGCTCACAACAGCGCGATTCAGTGACATCTCGATTCTTAATTTTTTAGTTACGATCTTGTAGGTTTTAGTGATTTGACAGCCAGAACATAACATAAGATGTCGAGCGTCTATTAATAGTTTGGACTTTTCATCGCTGACGCGTCATCTTGGCGGGAATACTACTCGCGATGAAGCAAAACACGCACACGATCTTCGGCGAATTTTCACGATGACAGACTGTGACAGTGAAAAGTCACGCCGAAGGAAAGAAACAGTTGGACGCGAGAGCTACAGATACGCGTGGCTTAAGAGCGCGGGAGAAAGTAGTACGGCAGTGGTACGAAGGAGAGGAAAAGCAGGGGGTCGGCGAGAAAAAGGCGCGCGGATTTATGCGCGTCCGCGCGCCTGATTTACCGTCGGCGCGAGTTCTTGTTTTTTTTTTTTTTTTTTCCCTTTTCGGCGGCGAAGGAGAGGGGGCAAGGCGCGCAAAACTGCGCTTCGCCAGGTATAAAGTGAATCGTAAATGCTCTGCGGCCTCCCCACCCGCAACTTGATGTAAGATGGCGCGGAGCGAGTGAGCGCGGCCGAAGCGTCTTGTTTACAACACGTGGGGAAAAGCCTTGCGGAGGCGCGTCGCGTCCCGAGCACACCCAAACAGCATCTATTCTTCTCTGGCCTTCCCTTTTCTTTTTTTCTTGGATGTTAGCCGGCTTTCTATGGAAGACACACACGTGGTTCGAGCATTCAGAGGGGTGGAGAGCGATTTTTGGTTTATGAGGAAATCGATGCTTTACGACGTGGCCTTCTTCGTTTCCCCCCATTTTTTCCCGTAACGCCTGTTATCGTTATGCGTATAATCGAATTTTCACTGACTGATTTACGTCGCTCCGAGTCGGCATTCGTGAACGGTTTTACGATCGAATCTTTCGTCTTTCTCGTCGCAAATTTATTACCGCCTTTGCATTTTCAACAAACAACCTATTTTAGTTGAAGCTTTGAACGTTTTTTGGGGATCGATCGATTTTTCCAAAAGCCGAATGCTCCCATTGATCGCACACAGTCTGACAGTCAGTTTTTGCAATATTGACGCGAGTCCCAATCGGCTCATTTAAATCGATCGTCCGTCGATTTATGTCGGAAAAAGTGATGCACTGCCCGCCCAAACAAGTCGTTCCACGTAATATTTCTTAATTTTCTCGATCTCCTAAAATTCATTATGCCGCTATCGATACTTATCACTTACATTTCATACGTTGCGGTGCGTGCTGTTTCCTGCGGGTCATCTGCGTCCTGCGAGCCTTATATTCTCGGCACTTTCGTCGGCCTTTAAATTCTTCGTGTATTCTTCGCACTACTTGAATTTTCTTTCTTCGCCGTAACCAAGGTTTTCTTTTTTCTTTTTTCTTTTTTTTTTCTTTTCGTTTGTTTTTATTTTTTCTTTTTAGTAAAAAAACCAACAACAACAATAACAAACAACAAACACCAGCTGATTGCACAATAGAGAGTCACACCGGCAAAGCGTTCACTACCTCGCTATCGTCATCTCTTTTTTCCACATTGCACTTTTCATCTGTTTGCGTAATCTCGCAACGTTTCGACACTCGCGCGCAATTTATGCACACCTGCGAATCAATCGGGCTTTGAAATCTAACAGGCAGAGGTCACATATCAAAGACAACACACTCTCAGTTGTTGTTTTATGTATATATATTTTCTTTTTTCAACAAAATTCACTGTATTCAATCATGATAATTTACTTCATAGGCGTCACAGTCCACAGGAAAACTGACACTGTCGCGGAGAAAAACAATTGTCTCGCGCACAATCATCCATAAATTGGTCTCACTCGTTCGTGCGACGTACAGGAGCAACAATCCATCGCGTGTATGCACACTCGCGCTCGGCCGCGATCGTATACATTGACAAACAATGATCTAATAGCGGTTGGCGTACGCGCTCCGCGCTCTCGGCTGCGCGGGGGTGGCTGCGATGGAGGGAAGGAGAGAGTCGCCGCCGCAGCCGGAGGAGTAGTAGGGGGAGGTCGGCGGGACTTTGAGACTGTAGACAGAGAGGGGGGGAACGAGGGAGGGGGAGGCGTAAAGTGCTCGCGATGAGAGATCCGAATTTTCGGAAGTCCGTGTTGTCGCGCGACGGCGGCGGCGGCGACGGCGGCTTAGCGTCTTCGAAGACGTGCGTCGAGCGGCGGTCCAGCGCTGACTGAATATCGCGCGCTCGGCAACGGCATCCGCAGCTCGCGCGCGGTTGCTTGCCTGCGGAACCGACGGGAGGGGCTATACACTCACTCTTTCCCCTCCTCGCTCTTGTTGCTGCCGGCGGTGTCTGTGTGTTACCAGCACCTTTTCCTCCCTTTCCTATGTGTACGCATAGCCGCGAAGGAGTGAATGAGTACCGCGTGCACGCGCCTGCACTTGCTGCTGGCGCTTATCTATATCGTGGCCAATTGATATTCTAGATATTATTAGCCAGAAAGCGACAATTCGGCCAAGCGAAAAATTAAGGACGAGCCAAATTATTAATTCGCGCTCGCTTTCTTTTTTTTTTATTAATTGGGCGATTGAATACCATTTACTTTTTATAAATTGTTTTGTTTCCGGTTGGCATCCGTTCTACAAATTTCTTTTTACCTCATCATTTTTCGGAGTTGCAGTAGAACTTCATAGAGTGCGATAAACACGTTGATGAAATATTTCTAGTAAATGTTTTGAATATACGGTTATTTGCACGCTAAAATAAAATGCAAAATTAATCCAAGTCATGATTTTTCGAATTGAATCCATAATTTGCGGCACCAAGTAAGCGTCATTTCAATACGTTTCTCAAATGACATGCTTATATGCATTGAAATGTGAAAAGCACCTGGTGGTAAAATTAATGAAATATTATTTTGAAGTACTTCCAGAAATAAGAAATCCAGTTTTCATTTTTAATGTCCGGAACGATCGCTTCTTGCAGTTTATATCCGAAATTACAATAGATAGCAGGTGAAATGCGGAAGTAAAAAAAATTAAGACGCTATTTTAAAGGGAAGGAAACTATTACTGCTGCACTTTTGAGCGGTAATTGATAAATAATGGATGCCGTCATCAATGAAACAACAACTATGGCGAATAGAAATATCGCGCGTTCTTTAAAAACAAACTGTAATAACTGAATAATTTGGCACAGCATGAAACGTCATTACGATCCGGAAAAGCCAAAAGAAACCAGGCAGATCGTCGAAGACGGTCGTGGAAGAAGTCACATGGTAGCGCAGGCACAAGAGCGAGAAGAGAAGGCGGGACCGTCGCTCGGCAGATCAGCAAGAGAGCGAGAGCAACCTGAGGGATCGGTTTTGCTGCGCGGTGGAGTGGGGCAGGCGGATACACAGCGCGTGTCGGCTCGGCTTTTCCCCTCCCTCTCTGCGCATTACCATGCTTTATTGCCCGCCCCGCGCGTGTCAAAGCTGCATTTCAACGGCCCCGACGCGCGAAACGGACGACGCCTGAACTACGGCCACGCGTTGCACCAGCCTGTGAACCTCTCGAGGTTTTCCGCCCGGAGCTGTTGTCGTCGCTTCGCCAGCCCGTAAGTGAGTACCGAATCTTTTCCCGTGCACGTAGACGAGCGGCCGAGAGCGTGGGCGGCGCTGGGGAACGTGCGTGCGCGCGGCTATTAGCGGACAACCGTAAACTAACCTCAAAATTACGAGCAAACGAAAGTTGGTCGACTGCGATTATTGTCGAGCGTTTCACCGGTTGAATCGTCGACCGATCGAGGATTCAATCGGTGGGCGGCAAACGCAGAGATCGCTCGTCCGTACGCGAGTCGACCGCGCCGCTAATTACGGACGGTCGACAAACGAGGCGCGTGGCAGGCGCGACTCGCAACGAAGCTAGCCAGCTAGCACTCGAGTGCGCCGCCGAGCAGCAGCGGCGAGCAGTCGCGGAGGGCCGCTTGTCGATCAGCTCCAACGAATCCTCGGCAGCGGCGGCGGCGGCGGCGGCGGTGGCGGTGGCGGCGTCGCTCGTCGCGCTGCGCGCTTGTCCTCTCCTCGGTCGGGCCGACGAGGCAGGCTGGGTGCAGCAGCGGCCGCGACGTGGCGCTAGGCGCCGAGCCACCGCGAGCAAGCCCCGCCCAGTGTGCCCCGGCGTGGGCGGGGCAACGGTGATCTATAGCGTCGTAGAATACCCCCCACCGACCGAGTCACGGGGCCGCTTCCAGTCCAACGGCCCTCCCACTTTCGCAGCGCTCAAGGCACCTTACGCTCGCTCCCCTCTCGAGCCGAGCGAAGAAATGTTTATGCCCGTACTGCCGTGTAGCCGGTTCGCTACTTGATTTTGTCTCCGGGAGACGGACACGGAAAGATTGTCGTTGGCCATTATTTTTATAGGTGTTTAGAGTGAGTTATTACCGCGTCCTCAAAAAGTCGACCGTGCGGTTTTTCGGGACAGCGTACGCCGTGAAAGTTATATGTCTTGATAGTCATTGTGTCCACGGCTTGTTTCTTCTGGGGACAACGTTTGATTGTTATACGGGACTTCTGTCTTCTTTTCAAATTATACCATTGACTTTACACGCGCTTCGAGCGTGCGTGCCTGTGAGACGGTAATAAAATTCGGATGAATGCCTGTGTAAAACTTTGTACATTGTAGCTTGTGATTCGAATCGGTGTCGATTGTAATTCGATCGGGAGATTTAGAATTTGAAAAGAAATGGACTTTAACGTCGACAATGTCGATGTGTTCAAGTCATATTTTAGGGGAACGACGGCAATTATTATCGGTAGAGTTTTTTTCGAAAAATTGAATTTTCAATCAATTCGGCACCAATGTTCTTATTCATATTGATAATGACGTTAATGTCAATCACAGCCTTGCGTAAGGTATCGGTTGCACTTGAAAATCTACGAGAAAGCGTGATTTTCTTTTCAATTTGAGCTATTTCGCGTGAGAGTAAATGACATAGCGTGTCGTTGAAATGATTACAATCGTGCACAGAACGGCGAAGCGCAAAACAATTCCAGGTCCTGAGTTTCCGGTTCTGTAAGTTGGTGCACGCTCGGCACAGGAAGAACGCGGAACTGTCGAGCTCTGGCTCTAGAAATGCGCGGATGACGCGGTGAAAGCGCGCTCGCGCAAGCGAGCAAAGAAATGTAGAGCACAGAGCGCAAGGCATAAAGCTATTCGGCGCATAACTCGAGGAGGGGCCCAGGCGCGCAGATCATTACGCACTCGCCTTTGTCTTGGTCCGGAGGCTCCGAGAAAAAAGGACGGTGGAACGAGGGGATCGACTGCTGCCGCCCAGTTTTCATCTTTCGTGAGCTTCTTTCGTCTTTCCTCCTCGAAGCTCCTTCGCGCAGAGCCACCGCGTCCGCGCCTTCCTCCTTTGGCGCGCCGTGCGCCGAGCTCTCCTTTTCCCTACGGGCCAGCGATTCGTGTCTTCTTCTCGTGTCGGGGCGTTCGTTACCGCTAAACATTCCTGTCAATTAAAAGCTGCTTCGCGCGCACCGGCGCGGCGACCCTCTCCCCGATTGAGTAGCGATCCCCGCATACTGGACCTCTCGAATAAAAGAAAACACGGCCGGCCGTAGCAGGAGCGCAATCGCCCGCGCGAGTTTGACAGCGCTCGCTCTCAATTATGCGGCGCAGTCCGATCGTGGCCACGGCCACGACCTCTTGCCGCCGCGCGTACCCACTGACTCTTATCCGACTAATTATTTATTCGGCCTTTCTTTTCGGGATATTTTCGCCTTTGCAAGTGAATACCAAAACAACGCGATTTCCTATGCTTTCCTCGGATCGCGAGCTCGTGGATTGGATGGCGCGCATTCTCTCGCGCAAGAATAACTTTCATCCAAGTTCGCAGTCGCGCGCGCGACCGACAGAATCAAGAAAGTGGCGTTGGGTAATAGTCGTAAATTATCCGCCCCAAAAACCTCTCCTATCGTATCGCGCGCGTCGTATCATACGTTGTCGACAACAAAGCGATAAGCCAAATCAAGCGAGTTTTGGTTTGCGCTCGTGTATATGTGTACCAGCGAAAATATAAAAGAAAGTCAAGTCGGAGGAAAGAAAGAGAGAGAGAGAGAGAAAAATAGCGAGCTGAACCTCGGAGCTCGGGGTGGTGGGTGACGGCAAAAAAAAACTGTGATTTGCGAGTGAGAGAATGCTTTCGCGTCAGCGTCTGCGGCCGAGACAAACACGAGCATATATACATTGGTTGGTCGTCCGCGTGAACGAAAAAGAGAGAGGATCTTTTACGAGCATTGACGACGTTGCCCGACGACGACAACGTCGTCGTCGTCGTCGTCGTCATAGTTTCCGACGCCGCTGCTACGTTCTGTAAGTCGGTCCGAACGCGACTTTCGCCAGACTCTTGTTATCCCTTGCCCGTAAGCGCAAAAAAGCACACGAAAACAAGTTTTCGGGAAAGCAAGCGTGCTTAAAATCTCGCCTCGCACACGTCGTATCGAAAAATCAAGTTAGATAAATGTGCCAAAAAGTGATTTTACCCTCGCTCTTCGCTCGGGCGCAAACGTTAGCGTGAGGCTCAAATTGGATTCTCGCGCCTGTATCGAAATGTACTAGTTTTCTCGCGAGGCAAGTGGACTGGGCGCTGAGAGACACGAGAAAATGCAAATGAGGCAACAGAATCGGCAGGGGATGAATGCGCCAGCCGAGATGTCGTTGCATGTATTTTGCTCTCGAATCGAAACAACGTCATTGCATCGACTTTAGCCGTACAGTCAAGAGACTGCATTAAAGAAAACAATATGATTGGCAAGAGATTCGTGCAGGTGACAGCTAGTCATAGTAAAAGAAAAAGAAAAAAAAGAACGCCCACCTCTGTTCACGGTGAAAAACTCTTTTTCCATCCATCCGTGTCATCTCGTAAGAAAGGCGAGCTGCATGGTCGAGAAAGAAACTCCGAGATAAAGCGGCCAACAATAGAGATGATTTTCGGATGACCTAGGTTAACGCGACGGGGAGACTGTGTCGGATAGAGAGAGAGAGAGAGAGAGAGAGAGAGAGAGAGACAGATCCAGATGCCGGTTACGCAACTCGCACACAATACGTGGGCCAGCCTTGCTCTCGCGCATAATAGTGGCGTCCAGTTTTTGGACACCCCGCTGTTGTGGCCGTCGCTGGATTCCCAACGACGTATGCACTTCTCGTGTTCAGCAATTTACGAGTGGCGCCCGCTAAATGAGCCCCGCGCTGCTCTCTTTCTCTTTCCTCCGCTCCAACAGATATATAATGTGGTGTAGCAGCGCCCGTTATCATCCGATTCAGTTCTACGGATGTGCGTGACTTTTCTTTCGCCCTGTCTTTTCACTTCTGACGCGTGCACGAGGATTACAAGATGTGCCTCTGACAATCTAATCTTCCGTTCTTCTACCATCGAACTTCATTAGAACGTCGAATCCAGGTGGCTAAAAATTTTGGGAAAGTTGACAATCTTCATGTTTGTAGGGCCGGGTGGCATTGATTTTATCGGCTTACCATTTATAAGTGTAACAAAGTTATTCCACGTAACTGGATGGGGTCGATTTGACATATCATTTTATAATGTATTTTATCAAATTCAATTGTTGAAGTGTCACCGGGATGAAAGTGAAAATCATAAGAATCGTTATGACTAGCGTTACTCTATCTGACACGTTACCTCATTCGAACGCAATCACCTCCTCTTGTAACAATTCTATAGAATATCGACAGTCTTCCACAATGTCGCAGCATTGAAGAGAACGAGAAATCGCGCAGAACATATTCTAATTGCAGCACTCCAGCAACACGGATTTTAAATCTATCTGCGCATATAATAAACACCCGGCTGCATATAGTTTTTTACGAGTTGGCGCGAAGCAAAGAGCGCAACATGCGTACGACTGCGCTACGGCGACTTATCTTGCCATGCATTCGCGAAGCGGGCCGGGGGGGGGGGGCACGAAAGCGGCTCTCGAAGACAGAACGACGGAGAAAAGAAAGGGCGAATATAAGCGAAAAGGCGAGAAAGAGAAGGCAACAAATTGCACGTAGCATCGGCATGCGGGAGCAGCGCGAGTCAGTGCTTTGTAATTGGGTGAATCGCATAAATCCCCATCTGCGAGCCAATAAATCCTCAGCGCGCAGCCGGAGAAAGATTGACGCGCGGCGATATATGCGCGGGGAGAGAGAGAGAGAGAGAGAGAGAGAGAGAGAGAGAGAGAGAGAGAGAGAGAGAGAGGCCCGTATGCGCGTGTAGCTCGGAGCTGCGTACCTATACGTATGAAATGCACTCGCGCGCGAAAGATGCCAGGAAGATATAGGCGAGAGAAACACGTGGCCGAGGCTTGCTCGAGCGATATGCCGAGCGAGCGATCGGGATTGCTGCAACTCCGACAACTGATTATTAGCGGCAGCTCGCTTTGCTTACCGTCATGATATTTTCTGCGGATGAACTCTGATCGGCGCAGAGTCACCCTAACTAATTTCATTCCTGGCTTTCAAAGTTTCCTCTCGTTCGCGTGCGATACCGATCTTGGCGAACTAATGTTTATCAAGAGCGAATTTTTCATTAAGCCTGCTCGTATGAAAATATATTCT